CAGTTACCTAAACATAGCATTATATCTCCTTACAGGTGGAGGACCAGGTGAAGTTTCTTGTCTCGACCTTAGATCATATCATCAGTCTCACGGATGCCTCAGAGCACATGAATTCAGTGCAATGGAACCCAAAGACAGTGGAATATTTCCTAAAAGACCTGCACAGGCAGTCATCTGAGCTTAAAGAATGCGTAAGTCTTGTCTGAAAGTATTTGTGCTTAGGAGAAACTGATATCAGAATTCCATTCTATGAATTACATATAATCCTATATTATCATCAAAGGGATTGTCTTAATAGTAATAGACCATGAATTTAGATTGAATGATTCCACTCAATCGTTTAACCTCAAAACTGTTATGACATTAATCATTATTAATCATTAACTTAATTGAATAAATGTGTTATATGAAATGTAAAAATTACGTTTTGTTATTTTGTCATTCATGTTATTTTGTCATTGTTTATATTTTGTTTACATTTTATCAGGTGGCCCAATACCAAAAGCCGTCGCAAAAGGAGTCTTACGAGATAAGGATAAAAAGGCACTTCAGGACTTTAAAGAAGATTTTAAAGAAAGAAGTAAGTTTGATTGCATAAAATGATATCACAGCTTGTTACATTGTTTGTGTTTTTATACCCTTAAATGTGTTGACTGATTTCTGTAATCAGCTTTATTTTTCTTTGTGCCTTAAGAGGCTTATTGTATTTGCACGTCTGCGATGTTACTGTTACTTTGTAAAGAGTAAAAGGAATTATTTTCTTGCATATAATATGCAAAGTCAGTGATACATAACTAAAGATGTTCCTTTTGTGTTTTAAGAAATATAGTGCTCACGCATGGGGGCAGATCTGGAGAGCTGTGAGAACCCACCTTCAGAGGATGGACATCATCGCAGAGAACGCTAAAAAAAAGTTTCTGCTAAGAGTTTAAGAGACAATGACAGAAAAAGTCCTAATGACAGAAAAAATGTCTGACTTGTGACACATTCCATAGAACAAACAAAAAAAAGTTACAAAAACTGCCTTACAAACAAAAACTGAAAAAAAAGAATGTTATAAATGTATTTGTGTATTCGCATGTTTGTATTTATTTGCAATGAATGTAGCCTAGTCGCTTTATATTGACCAACGGGTAGTGCTTTAATACAGAGTTTACCTTATGTGTTTCCTATGAAAACTTGAAGTTATCAGATCAAACAAGCTAATGATGTTTCTTACAAAAACCTGTGAAAACTTTTCTATTTGGTTTAGGTGAGAATAAGCCTCTTTGCCTAAACTATACTCAGATATTTTGCTAACTAAATGAAAAAACATGCTATGCATTTCAGATCATATGTATTAATTGTCAGTCAGCCATGTTGTGTTGCACATGCATGTTCGGTATGTTTCATAATTGTTTAAAGTATATTGAAATCTATTTATATATCTTTGTGCACAATTTTTATATCCCAGTATATTTATTGTTTTCATATTTAATATTATTTATAGTTATTTATTTGCTCTAATTGTCATAAAATGTTTTGTACTTTCAAATAAAAATGCTTTATTGAAACTGCTTGAGGTGTTTACCATTGCTTACTAAATACATTAAACTTCCACACACCAATACAGTTTACAATTCTTTGTACTTGTCTTACTTCGTCTATGGTTTTTCAGAGATTGTGAAATGTAAAGAAGTTTTTCTTTTTTTTTTTTCTTTTGGTTACACTTTATTTTAATGTGTCTTTGTTACAGTGTAATTACACATTTGCCGACTCGAGTAATATAAATTAACTACATGTACTTACTACTGTAGATGATTAGGGTTAATTGCATGTAATTGTGAATAATTTATTGTTATTACAATAGTAAGTACATGTAACGTGTAACAATGACACCTTAAAATAAAGTGTTACCTTTTTAAAATGATTATTTACGGACATTTCAGTAATGCAAATGCTTCACTATAATGGATATCGGCTCTTCTCGATGGGGGGCGCCAAAGTCATATCTGGGCCATAACTGTGAGACACAAAGAAGATATTTGGGGGGGAAATGTATCTGTTTTTGTCAATACAGTTAAAGTTCCACACATTGGAACGAAATAAGCACTGTAGTAAAATGATGACTGAATTCAATGAAATTTTTGAGTGAACTTTAAATTCAAGCTGTCGAGATATGAATAAAACGTTTCCCCCTTAGATATAGCCTTGAAGAACTGGCTGAGGTAAGGCTGTTCTCTTGAGATTCATGAACGCTGAATGGCCGCTAACACCCTGAAGCTCACACCTCTGAAAACATTGAAGCAATTTTTCCAAATAGGCGCTATCTTCATTAAGAAATAGAGTTTAAACAATTACATTCTCCCGCAAAAACTCTTAAAACTACACTTCTAGACATAACAACATTTCTAACACATCCTGAGAAATGCTGCAAGCGGAGTGATACAAGCGGTGAAACGGTTCCATGGATTTATTGGGTGAATATCTCATGGTTGGAAAGACCTCTCAGCCAATCAGATTCGAGGATAATCCCTGATAACAACAGTCGTCATTAGCAATGCAGAATGAACACAATATTTAAGGCCTGAGCTTGCATCATCAGTCACACTGCTGCTCACTTTGGCTAGTTTCATTAAAAGGCGACTGCGATCATCTTGCTCCTCAGATATCCACTGTAAATGAAACCAGAGGACTTCAGTATTAATAGCAGGCCTGCGGTAAAATTGTTGAAGCTGTGTTCAGCAATCGTTGCCACAACTATTATTTTTACACTGCAATGAATTTAAGTTTGTGTTTTTTTTTCACTGTAATGAATTTAAGTTTAAGTTTGAATTTAAGACCATAAACAGGTAAACTTTCTTCTCCAAATAGACTAACATTTTATGTCCTCATTAGTTCAGACAAGAAGGAAATATTCAGGGCCCCTACACATGACTTTTTGACCTCAGAAAATCATAAAAGTGATTTAAAACGGCTTTTGCCATTGTAGTAAATTCCCATAGCAAAGAGTGGAGTAACATATCTAAAATCTAAGAAGGAGCACATATAACATATAGCACCATTTGAAAAAGGTGTGGTATAGCACTTAAACTGGTTATGATTAGCCAATGAACCATTTTAGTGCGATTTAGCACCATTTTTTTAGACAGTAGGAAAAGGGGTGAGGCAAAACTATCAATTATATTAATTTGACACACATACATTGATACATATATCCTAATGTCTTAATTGTTTAGCATTTTAGAATGCCTATTAGGGCAAATTAGCTATCCACTGGTTCACATTTACAACTGTGTTTGCAGAGTAAAAATATGGGTCCATTTTTGCATTGGTCTGAACAAAAACAGCAGACGAGCTTATTAAAACCGGAAAATGCCATCGAAAGACAGTCTGAAGACAATCTGAAGACAAACATTTTCTTATTAGAGATAGGCCAACATTCAAAACACCCGCGCCGCGTTTTGACTTTGAAACGCTCATATTTATTTAGTGAAATCATAGACTTTTGTAGTTTAATAGTCACATTTGGCCATATTACCATTCTTGGCTGTACTGTAGGCCAACCACCTGATTCAGAAGATTTCAGTGAAAATGCATTTCAACAATGCAATCTTTATTTCTTTCATCATTTTACTGTTTGACTCATACAATAGGCTCAACTATTGTAACTGCCCTAGGTTATGCAATTCCATGATGATGATGATGATGATCATGCATTTAAAGGAAATTTTTTGTAAAATCAGTTGGTCTCGGTCTCAGTTCCATAATGATGCATATAATGATAGGCCTACTCCCTTTGTTTATTTTTTCCAGATATAGGCTACTCGACAACCGAGGCTAAATGTATATAACAGCAGAGCTAATTTCAGGTAACTGCGCTTCATACGTGAACAGTGGTGAAGATGGAATATTCCGCTATTAATGATGACGGTGTGGGTATTATTATTATAGCGCACACTCATTATTAGTTATGAGTGGAACACAACCTGCCACACGCGCTGAATCGACAGAACTGAATTCATAGAGCGCGAGGACCCGGGTGTACATGCTCGTGTGGTTTGTGAGCGTGGGAAGTGAACTCTGCGTGTGGCGAGGCGCTGGTAATTATGATTCGCTTGTGATGTTGGCGCAACACCTCGAATGGGAGCTTCGCTTTCCAGCTGTCTGAGTAAATGATTTTCTCTTATCAATTTTATGAAAGAAAAAAATTCAACCGTTCATTCATAGAAAGAATTGGGACTTGCCCGGCAGTTTATTTCGAGTTGCGAGTGAAAAGTGAAAACACCACTGGGTCGCACGTAATCTACCGGTCTCCTGATAAATGATGACAGACAGATCTTGACCAACGTTTAATCAATGTAATGAAAATACCGTAATTTATAGTCATTTATAGTTACATAATTTAGTCATTCAAGGCGAGAACGCTATCTTCCCTCATTTGTTTAGTTTTTGTTTTTTTGTTTTTCAATGTGAAACTCGCGAACTTTCTCCCATGACAGCCTACGGTTTTTGTGTCTTTAAGGTTGAAAATATCCCAAGTAATAATATTTATATCCAAAAAACGAATTCATTGTAAATAGACTACACCAATTATCATACATAATTAAGATACTTAAGATTATTTAGATATAAGGACAACAGTAGTGTCGTATACTTGGATATTTTTGGATATTTGGACTTGGATATTTTATATTTTGTGACCAGCGAAATTAGATAGATAGATAGATAGATAGATAGATAGATAGATAGACCACATCCTCATTAACCACAGCAAAGGAGAGAGAGGCGCAAAGGGAAACAGCAAAGCGAGTGCACTGCGGGTTACAAAAAAAAAATCCAAATACGATGATATTCTTTCCATTCATCACTAAGCTTTAGTATAAAACGGATCATTGACATCCATGTCTTCAGCAATATCAGGAGATTTTGTTACCGAGTGCTATTTTACAGCTCTTTTAATTTTGGACTTTCAGCATACTTTTTCTGATCTTTTTGCTTTCTTGTCTCACACAAATACAATGGCACTTTGGAAATTTATCGCTTTGCTGTGTCCATTTCTTTTTTTCGCCCAAATTTGTTCAATGCCAACAAAATGCATCATGCGGCGGGGTCTCGTGAAAACAACTCGCAGTCTACTTGAGAATATGGTAAGTTATTTTTTCGGTTGTTTTTCATTCCTATAGCCTACCTGTTGTACATATTAAACTATATCTTAACCTATTGTGTCTTTACTTATAGGGAGGTCTTTTTCCTCGTGAATGCTTAAAAGAAAACGTCAAAATAACCTTCCCGAAATCTGCACTGCAATCAAATGACTCCAATCAGGTAAACTAGCAACACATCAAGACTAGTCATTCCATATTCGATTGTCTAAATGTTTCTGGTGAATACTAGGTTGCTTGCTAGAACCCAAAATGATGAAGGAGACCGGGCATAATGGTTTCTATGTTATATGTTTACTTTGCAGAACATTGGTGTAGCAAAGGCAGTGTATAAAATCATGGAACACATTGACTACCTGTTTGCTAACGATAGTCATCCAGAATCCTGGAACCAGAAGAAAGTGGAGGATTTCCAAAACATAGTTTTTCGTTTAACTGACGAGTACCAATGTGTAAGGGAATAATACATTTTTTAATAGAATTTCACAGATGAATATATGAACATGCCTGTACTCGTCTCACATTTCTCATCCTTGTGTAGATTATGGGGAGAAAGCAGCGCGTGGATGATTTTCCCACAAGAGAAGATGCACTGAAAACCTATTTTGATAAACTGGCCACTCTCCTCAGAAACAAGGTACACCAGACCTCATTGTTCAGCATGCATAAAATATGGTTTACAAATCACTCTAACAAAATATTGTCATTCAAGCCCATAGGCTATAAATAATTGCTGTCTTTTTCTCTCCTTCAGGACTACAGTGTCTGCGCGTGGGAGGTGGTTCGAAAGGAGCTCCTGTTTGTTCTTAAATTCACGCTTGAACATTATTCAGTTAAATTATTCTGAGGAGTTTTTCATAGATTAGGCTAGTTATTTATTTATTTATTTATTTATTTATTTATGTATGTATGTATGTATGTATGTATGTATGTATGTATGTATGTATGTATGTATGTATGTATGTATGTATGTATGTATGTATGTATGTATGTATGTATTTATTTATTTATTTATTTATTTATTTATGTATGTATGTATGTATGTATGTATGTATGTATGTATGTATGTATGTATTTATTTATTTATTTATTTATTTATTTGTTTGTTTGTTTGTTTGTTTGTTTATTTATTTATTTGATTAATTTGTGTAATTATGATCATGTAAGATGATTATACTGAACACTCAATAAAACTGAAGACACTGAAGTTCATATCTCTGAGTATAACTTACAAGCAGCGAATTACAAGCGAGTTTTATCACATGTGGCAAAATATATTTTTAGACAAAAACGGCCAAAAATATCATGTTTCAAGATACACTTACGTAACTATATATTATCTAGGCCTACCTATACATGTTTTTGCCTTTCTTTGTATATTTTAAAAAATATAATGTATTTTTTAAAGCATTTAAAAATCAGCAAGGAATATGCTTCACAATCGATGCTGCATGTTCAGACCTGGGACAGTGTTGCGCACGCATTTCCGCAAGTGAGGGTACAGGTCGTGTGGGTTTAACTTGCAACAAGCCCAAAAGTGGGCTGCAAGGCTAGTTCACTCAATTATTTCGAAAGATTGCTACCATATTTGGTTGATCTTAATGATTCTTAGGTGGCGTCCAGTCGCGTATTTATGCTCTATGCCGTTTTTTAGTATAAATAGTGTGGTTAGTGTGTTCACACTGAAAATTCCAATAAAGAAAAAGTGCCCTCAAATGCCCATATGATGTACTTAATTAACCGAAAATAAAAACAAGTGTGGAATGTTGGATACTTAATGCACATTTAGCTGTGGAAGCTTTCATTTCGTAATGGAGAGAGAGGGGCTGTCAGACTCCGATGATGGAGGTCCTGCAGAATAGGCTAAACCTAGAGTAGGCTAAGCCAACCTTGAGAAAAATTCACCTGCCTGTAGCTTTCTAGTAGCCTAACCCGTAGAGCTCAGGTAGGGTTGGAGCTGAACTCTGCAGGACTGTGGCTCTCCAGGACCGACGCTGGTCACCCCTGCACTAGACGCTTGAGATAGCACTTTTGCATTGCACTCTTGCACGGAACGCAGCAACACTTTATCACTGCACATGCACTGCAATGTTTGTAAACATTTGTATTGGCTGTTACTCGTTAAAAAAAATTATATATGTGTTTTTGGGTTTATGTCACAAGATATTCTGGGAAAATGACTGTTATTTTATATATATATATGAAGAGTTTGGTTCCAAAACGCTATAAATCCATTTTGATTAATTTGAGTAAAAATGTGTTTTCTTTACCAAGAAAGTGGCAAGATGAAAACCACTATTTTCTGTTTCAAACTTTCACATGGCATCTTTAGGTTATAATAACATAAAAAATTCAAATCCAGATTTTGATTTTCAAAGATTTATTATAAAATTTTGTTTGTTTGTTGATCACAAAGTACAAAATAGATGAGGAAAACTAGGATGCCGGGTGTATTCAAAGCGCCGCCATTACTGTCTAGAGTGCGTGGAATGGTGCGCTGTGATTGGTTGTTACTGTTTACAGTGCGTGGAATGGTGCGCTGTGATTGGTTGAGCGGATATATCGTATTCTGCAGAAAAGGGAGACAAAAAAAGGGAGAAAAAAAAAGGTTTGGAAAAAAAAGAGAGAAAACATGACAGAATAACTCAGCGGATATGGCATTTTGCGTAAAATTAAAAATTGACTTTTCAATACCGACCAGATA